AAAGGTCTGCTCTGCTTCTTGCCTCTGTCCTGAACTAGGCTGGGCTTTCCTTCGAATTCGAAATTATTCAGCTCTTCCATCACCTCCTCGTAACTTCAAAGTGTCTTCGGTGAGAAGTGACAGCGTTACACTGTCATGGGAAGCTCCAACGTTGGCCGAACCGGCGATAGAGTACGTCATCAAGTACCGACAGAAGTACGTACTTCCTAATGTCTTTTTTTTAATGCATGACATCTGAGCTTCCAATTGTTCTGCAGTGTGCATGCGTTTTACTTTCTAATGTTACTTTCAATGAGTGTGTGTGGATTTCTAACATGGAATTTTGAGGTCTCAATCTCGTACTGGAGGCTACTCCACAGGGTACGTTTGCAGTGTTGTGATGACAGTAGCATGACTCTTCGGTTTCAAGGCCATTTTTTGGCCAAATTTCGTTGTAAAGTGGTTTGTCTTGGTTCATATTCTACAGTACACTTGTTACCTATAGATATGCCGATTCTAACGTATGGAAGAAGTGGAAAGTAGATCCGCTGCTGACCAGTACCACTATCGACCACTTGGAGCCGTTCCAGGTAGACCGCACTTCACCATTGACCAGACTTCTACAGGAAAGCTTCAGATTAAAACAGACAATTGTTATTTACAGATGTACGAGTTTGTTATTGCGACTGTTGGAAACTTTGGTGAAGGACCAGCATCGATTCCTAGGGAAGCACAGACGGCAGCCGCAGCTCCAAGTCCACCAGTCAAGGTATGAGCACGTATTATGAAAGCTCAAATTCAATTCTGATTCTGACTTGAGTTCTCTTCTGAGAATGTCCCACACATTCTGCTTCATACGGTGTTGTAGTGGCACTTCGAATCAGGGCACGCCCTGTCGTTAGGGGAAAATTTTGAAATACGGAACCCTTCAAATCTTCCACTTCTGGTGCAACCTTCAACCCCGTTCCACTGTACCATCTTCCTGAATTTTGCCAACTTTCCACCACGTTCCCACCTTTTCCAAAGAATTTCCAGTTTTCGCCAAAAACTTCTGTCGATAGAGGTGATTGGAGAGGGGCATACATATAGCGCACGTCGGATAGAAAGAAAACCGAGAAAAGTCAACCATCGAAAACAGTTCTTCTCTCTCGACCACTACAGTTCCTCTCCCTTCAGCGACCAAATACGATCTCCGCGCTGGAGACTCCTATCGTCTCTGAAAGGCCCTGCTTTCAATACGGTTTGCAGTCATCGAGCTGGCAGCGTGTAAGGGGATAACCAATGTAAACTCAGTGCTTTTACCCTTTGAACGAATTTGAAACCAGTCAACCGGATTTGAGAACATGGAAGATCAGGATCGCTGGAGTTGAACTTAACCTTCTACTATACCCCAGACCGTATGTCTCGTCAGCAACGACCCTTACCACTTAACTGACTGCGCGTCAGTTCGTAAATGTAGGGTTAGAAACCTTTTGTTCAATTTCAAGTCACTGGTAGAGTCGTGATCGAGGATGGATGGTTTGAACTTCCCTGTAGATGGCAAATTACTGGGAGATCGTAGGGTTGGAATGCATTGCAGGAAGGACGTTGGATGCGCGGCGCGTTTCTAAAAGCGGTGGGACTGTGCTAAGCGTTTCTCCTACTTTGTGCTGACTTCTAAGAATTCGTTCATACATGTAGAAGGATGGAGAATCAAGTGGTCGGCAAGTCATCATTCCCTTAGATTTGCTCCGCGCAACCGACCTCTTCCTAAGGACCCTCTCTCTCTATTCAATATAGCCAAGTCGAATACGGTAGATTCAGCCAATGCCCGTTCCTGAATCGCCGCGCCTGACGCCACTCATGATTAGCCCTGTAGGTAAATTACTCTCTCCCTCGTTTGCTTACGCGGATGGTCGGAATGTGATGGGGGTCTAGAGCTGTGCAATGATCTTGTTAATTACTGCCGTGGCTGCCTGAAAATGGTGCAAACACTGGAAATAGAGAACACACATGGTGTCGTCAGAAAGGATTCAAGGTCGCACGAAGTTCAGTAGACATTCCTAACAAGTTGGCAGAAACCTCTAACAGCTGTCTTTCAGGTCCAAGCTCGGAGTCTGAGCCGCGATTCTGTTCTCGTGAAATGGTCTCCGAGTGAGAAGCCCAATGGTATCGTCATCAAATACCGTATCTTCTACACGAACAAAGATCGAGCGTCACCTGTAGCATATTGGCAAATGGTGAGAAGCTTTGTAATTCCTTTAGTTGTTTAAAACTACCGTATCTCATAAACTTCAGCACGAAACGAAGTCCGACGAATTGGTAGCGACATTATATGGCTTGGAAACGGACACACGTTATTTTATCGTTGTGCAAGCACGAAACGCTAAAGGTGACAGCAAAATGAGCGATGTGGCTACGGTTACTACCAAGCACGGAAGTGAGTATAAATACATTTTATCCTTAATACCTTTTACCATTGGTTTGCCCATCAAACACTTCATATGGACCGAAAGTATTCTTCGGAACGCCCAGATTGGAGAATTTATTTCTCGTGACCCACTATGTATTGAATGGTAGTGCGAGAAGGCAGGGTCCAGGTCTACTGTAGGCAGCACAATAGCAGTTGGTTTTGTGACTGTTGCATTTTGAAGCCTGGGGAAAGGGCTAAGCAACGAAATACTTTGGTAATAGAACCTAAACAGGCTACTCAAATCGACGCTGCTTGGTTGATTGAGGCCTACCAGGGAACTCCTCCTTTTTACCTATTTTCTTCCTGCGGCAGTTATGATAAAAGGCACACGGGTAGGCCTGACTCCGTCAACGCGTCCAGCGTGGACGGAGTTAGGTCTTGGTTGGGGATATTGGTCGAGTCCTACGACCCCCTCTTTTTTAGGGGGGATGGTACTACCCCCCCCCCTGGTTTCCTTCTCATCAAGGTGTCGAACCGGGGGAGGGGGAGATTCTAGCACATATGAATGAAACGGGAAAAACTGCGAGGAAAATACGACTCCTCTTCTACCATTTCTTAGTTTTCCCCAGCTTTCTACCACTTTTTCCAGAATTTCCCAAAAATTTTCCTAGTTTTCTCCGAAAATTTTGCTGTTGGGGGTACCTAATACATACGTAATAGGAAAAATCACGAAAAGTCACGCAACCTTCTTCAGAAGGTCAGAAGGGAAATACGACCCCCCCCCCCTCCCAACAACGAACAAATACGACCCTCCCCCTTTACAACGTCCGTGAAGCAAGAAAAATCAACTATCAAAATAAATTTTTCTCAGCCCAAATACGACCCCCCCCCTCTCCCAGCGACCAAGTACGACCCTCCTGATGCGGAATCCTCAAGCAACGATGTGCCCTGTTCTTTGAGCCTCTGATACTGAATTGGCATAGAGAACATCCAGCGTGGAGAAAACCGTGTTATTCCTCAATAAGCAGAAGACAAGCTCTTGTTCTGTGTCTCTACTGTTGCGAGAGGAGGTAGAAATAATGGGAATCGATGATTCACCTAACTTATGGTGACATGGTCTAAGAAATGTTTCAAGGTTTGTACAATAATTTCTCATTTTACAGTACCTGGTCAACCTGTGCTACTCACCGCCAAAGCGCTGGACTCACGTCGCGTACAGCTCACTTGGGAAAAGCCTCTCTACTCGCTTCCAGTCACCGGTGAGATCTTTGAGACTTGTGAAAGTGATGTCAATTTAACTGTTAATGTTAACAATCTTGGTCGGCTCAAGTGAACAAGTAAATTGACATCACAGCCATGCCGTGATTAAGAGAAAGTCGCTCCTGGTCGATTCTACAACTTATGAAAGCTTTGAACTTTTTGAAACTCCTCAGACGTCTATGAAATGGTTTTTTTCGAATAATCTGGTAAAAAAGAGAACCCCTGAGGATATGGGTTTATTGAACCTTCAAGGAAAATCGGAGCGCCACCGAGTAGTTTCCAGCCAATAGAAATTCACTTTTCACCACGGTTTCCACTGCGATTCTTCACTTTTTCCTATCTGGGGAAGCATTTTGAATCAGATACCCAGTTCCTAGCGATCCCAGGAATCGCGGAATGATAATCAGAATTGTGAATATGTAGGATGGTAGATGGTGGGTCCGACTCCGCCCACACGACCACTGTGGATTACGTCTTCAATCAAATCGAAAAATTTGCCAGAGAGCGGTTAGCTTTGAAACAACTATTCAGGATACGTTGTGTGGTTCAACTCCACCGACGGCGAGAAAGAGTACACGTTGGCATCTCCCCACGAGAAGCACATCGTTATGGGTCTCGAGGCCGAGATCGAAACCTATGCATTTCGGTAGGCACTATTTTGCCTACTTAGTGTTACAACTTTACTTTTATGAACTTCTGTCGCAAAAAAAAAAACTGTATGTATATCCAGCGCTCCTCTATCACTTCATTTTCAGAGTCGCAGCGATCTCAGCTCGAGGGCAGGGCGAATTTTGTGAGCCCGTTGTGATCAGGACCTTGCAATCGAGTAAGTTCAACGCAGTTTTTCTACTTGCAGAGCACACCATCACGTTTGTTGAGATTTTGCTCCTTACGAACGGTGCCCCAAACTTAATCAGTCAGATTCGCGCCCCCTGCCCTCCCCCCCACCGTTAAGCAACCCACTTTTACCAACTTTTCTGAAAAATTCGAAGGCGGGAGTGAGAAGGAAGTGGAGGAGGCATACAACTCCGATCAACTAACAGAACAGTTATGTGTGCTGGCGCAACTAAGGGTGGCAGGATTAGACCGCACTGCCTTCGACGGCGCATCAATGAACCCCCGCGCCCACCCCCCCTCCTTGGGTTTTGCACAACGGATGATGTGCCCTGCCTGCATGAGTTTTTGTACAGTACTTGTGTTCGTGATGTACTCATTGTGCAGCGCCTACCGGACCCCCACGCCTTCTGAACGTCACCGCTATCTCGTCTACGGCTCTGCATGTGCTGTGGGCTGCTCCGAATGCTAGCGAGGGCCCTGTGGTTCAGTATCGTGTACGGTACCGTGTTGTGACCACCGAGAATGCCACATCGTCGGGTGAGAGCACGAGCTATGAGGAAATCATCGACGATGAGATTCTTGCCACGAAGGCACCCATTTGGCACAGCACTCTGTGGAACGCAAGTGATGTGGTGGTGAATGTGACTGGCTTACAACCGTTCACCGTCTATGAGGTCACCGTCGCAGCTGCCACTGTAAATGGCTTTGGACCGGAGAGTAGCCCGCTACGACGACGGACTCATGAAGATGGTGAGAATCTTGGTTTGGTCGATATTTTCTTAAAGTTGATGTTTTCAGCAGACAATGAAGATTCTCTCCCTGGTAAGTTGGTGTTGTACAGTAGTGTACTGTGATTTCCATAGCTAAGAATTGTAAGGCTGACGAGCAAGCCCTACAGTCTTCCACGCTGATTTCATGAGCACAGCCCGGATAAGTTCCCCTTCCTTATCGAAGAGTCCCTCGTCCTAAGATGACAAAGGCGAGAAAGACCTCAACAAGGAAGACGCAGCGCTCTAAGTTTTTCCGCCCATACGATCAGCGTGGAATGAGTCTCACAAGTCAAGAACAGATGATCACAGATCCACCATACCCCGCAAGAACATAAAAATAAAGGATATTCGAAAGGAGAACGGATCAAAAGTAAGTTATATAAGTTTTGTGGTTTACAAGTTGATTTTCAGCAGTAACTGAGAGGTAAGGACTCAAAATAGCCTCACATGAGACTAGATAAAGCCACCATTTCGTACATACTTGGCAAGTAAGCAGCGATCGGATCCTCTTTCCCTCCGGAAAAGAGTTACTAAAAGAGTTTTCTTCTACGACGCCTGGAAGGTATGAGGAGAATCAGAGGCAGACACAGCAAAAACTTTCCTAAAAAAAGAAATTCTCGAGAATTGGAGATGATTTCACGACTATGATATGCTACGCTTTGGAGCACATTACGAACTTCGAGGAGAGCATCTTCGAGCCTGCCTTTATTTACTTTTGTATGCTAGTGGCCATGCTAATTCCCGACAATGCCTGTTCAGAACGAGCTTTGCCAACAGATGAACAGCAGCTCAGTTGTGATTGTTTAGTGAAGGATTAGGTGACTGGTCTGATTCTTTAACCAGCTGCAATAAGGGCCACCAGCTCTTCCTTGTAAACATGGAAGGCAGTAAACTGTCTAAAGCTAGCGTTAAGCACGTCGGTTAGATTTCGATAATCCCACCTACTTGAAACTCACTTGCAACACAGCGTTAGCAGAACCCAATGTCTAAGACCAATTCAGGTCTGCAAGTATCTAAATCCAGCCTCGCTCTTGATCTTCGAATAAGATGTGGCTATTTCACTGGTGTCCCAGCTAGATTTCTCTGACGTCGATATTACTTTGTCATCTCTCTTGAGCCGACGGGACAGTGTCAAGAGCCTCTTGGAAATAGCCCACCAGCGGCGCTTTGGCAGCGTTCGGACTTCGCGACGACAGCGCTTCGGTCACCCGCTCTACGCGATCGATGCAGTTGAAAGCATGCGCATCGACCGAAGGCGCGACTGGGAGCAGCTTTGGGCCGTTGCGAGGTCTGAATGGCACCTCCTACTGCGATTGTTTCCGTAATCTTGAGTAGGTCCTCCCGAACACACTACTGAGTAGGAAATTTTCACGCCTCAATAATTCGCCCCCCCCCCCCCCTCCCTCGGATGGCGACCGTGTCAACCGTTAAATCAAACCGCAGATCTGCGTCCTCCCCCCCCCCCCCCTTGAGATTTCCCAAACCATCTGTGTGGCTGCTTTGAAACAGAGGAAGTCATTCGTCGTAAAAATTTTCTCTGGCCAAGTGCGACTTCTTTCTTCCACACGAACACAAACACCTCTGCCCGTTCTGGGAATTTTTTACGTGGGGGCGTGGAAAAAGTTTCCTGATGAACCGTTCGCTGAAGGCACTTGCCGGTTTTCAATGAAGAAAGCAATCCACCCTTATCGCTTATTCCTTCAACATCACTCAATGATAACTTCCTCCCATATCACCAGACATCAGGAAGCTTTTTTCAGTTTTGTTGTCTCCATGAAATGTGACACTTTCGCTTTTTCTTGGTAAGAGTAGCCTAAAGGACATTGCGAGTGCTTTGTGAGAAGCCAACTCTATTCCTATAGCCAATACAAATCAATGCCTTCCCTCCAGTTCTTCTGTTGTTATGCACTAGCTCACCGATGGAGCAGCTAAACAAGCAGATTTCGGTATTTTTTCACGCGAACAGGCCGTTCACAGCTAATAAAACACCTCGCTATTGGGCTCTGTGCTCTCTTTAGCTGAAAATAATTCACTTCCATTTTCTGGATCGCGGCATTGCGTGATATTCTGGTGGAATTATGTCCCTGGAAACAAGTTCTATTTCGATCAGTCGTGAGTCTGTTTCGGTTGACAGCTGCGGATACACTCTGACGACCTGTCTATCATCCCAACCCCTTTATTAACTCGTGTTTCGCTTGACTCGTTTGCATACCTTAAAGTCGCCTACCGGGCCATCTGACATATTTGGAGGTTATAGCCTTAGTTTACCGCAGAAATATGCCTGTACCGTTTTTCCTGTATCTATAGAATGAGTCCCCTGGAGGAAGCTAGTTCCGGTGAGAGTTCGGGCCCTAAAGATAATTTTAGAATGATGTATACCTCATTGCAAGTGGGGGATCGGCCTGTTGACCTTTGTTGTCGGACTGGATCATATCCCGTCGCATTTCATAAGATGCTCTTGAAAACCTTTTTCATTTAACACCTCCATGTAATATTTTGAAGTCGTTTCATTGAGTGGATCGTCCTAGGCGGTGAACTCCTTGACAAGTTTCGGGTTTCGCGATTGCTATCCAAAAAATTGGGGACAATCTCATGGCGAGGAGGTCGAATCAACATCTCTCCACTCGAAATCCTGTCCAAATCCTCCTCCTCCTTTTTTTCTTCCTTATTACTTTAGACAGGCAGGTTGGTGCAATGGGAAGCGGTACCGTTGCCAGGATCGAGGTTTCACTTGAGTTTTGCCCGTGCTCTACTCACTCCGTCCGACTATTTCAATTGCATTTCTCTTCGTTTACCGATTGTCACCGAGGCCAGCCGATATACAGACCAGTGGGGTTTGTCCTCCTAGAAAAGCCCCGTGCTAATCCAGGGACTGGAATTTCTTGGTCTACCTGGGCGAATTCGACCCCTTGAGCATGGGATTGTGAATGACTCCACATGCCGGTACAAATGTGTGCGCACTTCGCTGCGATTCTGGATCGAAATCAGATACATGGCGCATCTAGAAAAGCACCTCCCGCGGCTTACTTGACAGCGGTTCCTCCTTTTCATTTTATCTTGTTTCTTGCGGAACGTTTTCCTACGAAGCGAAACAGCTATGAAGAATGCATGCATGTGAATCCTTCGAAGTGTTTGCTCGATTCTTGCGGTGTATCTTTTTCTTACTCATCCCCTTACGAGAGCGGAAATCAGCCTAATCGGATCATTCTCTTGAGTTCGTGGATAACATGGGATGCAGTAAACACTCCACAAATCCCATTTGTTTGTAAGGCTCAAAACCCCTTCTCGTTTTACTTCTCAGTTGTCGTCTGTTGGGAGAACTACGACATACGAGACGCTTCGTATAAACAAACTTCCGTAGAACTACGTGGTTTACCAGAGTCTTGGACACAGTGACGAGCGAGCAGATCAGCTTTGCCCCAGCTGAGCTCTATCTCCTACTGGTAGGCAACTGCGGTTTTCCTTAGAGTACGAAAATGCTTCCTGACTTTTTCATGGAAATTTAATACGTAGCAGGTCTCTGTGTCGGTGAAGGCGATGAAAGAAATATTGGCGCTGTTCAGCTCAAAGGGGATCAGGAAGAGCATTTGACATCTTTTGGCGCTCGGATGTCATTTTACCTAACAGGTCTAATTTTGGTAGTACTCGTGAACTCGTGTGAAGCCGCGAAATGATACAAGTATGTCACTTTGGTTACACGAATTTACAGGCTTCACAAGGCGACCTGCAAAACTTCTGCATCGCTGGTTCGTCTCTCCCACCCCCCCACCTCCCTCCATCAGCAATTTCTTCTTCTTCCTAGCGTTGCTTCTCCGACTGTTTTCGGGACGCTTCTTTGACCAACGCTTTTCAGCGGTCCCTGTAAAAAGCCTCGGCTGCGGACAGGCCAGCAGCAGTTATGTCCAGGTTATCTTGCACTGCATACCAGGCCGGCTATCGACGTGTACCGGCAAAAATGTTCTTATCAGCGGACTTCGATACAGCATCAGGAGGTCTTCGTTGAACGTGACCATACCAGCGGAGACGAGCTGCGGCAAGGGAGTTGGCAATCGGGCTGGACCTTCATGTTGTCTCAGACTGTTTCATTTCGGATTCGGTCGAGTCGTGTATGTTCCAGGAACATTCTGATCTCCATAATTCCTCCATCAAGCCAAACGGCCTCTAAATGTTGAGTGCTTGGCGGCGACCAACTCCTCTGAGATGTTTCGATCTCGATTTTTACTCGAAAATAATCGAGACAATTTCAACCCTATCCCCTATTCAATGAATTCACATCTCCTTGTCAGCTTCTGCGTTGCAAAGCTTCAGAGGTGAGCATCGTCAGCCGGGAGTGTTGATCCCCTTCACCTGCATATGTAATGAATTTAGATTTTTTTATCTGAAAATTTAAAACTTTCTGCAAATTGGTAGAGAATTGTATGAGTTTGCTAAGGAACTAGGTAGGTTGTGAAGCAGGTTGTAATGGAAGAGAAAGCTATGGTGATGTCGTGACACCGCCATTTCACTCTCCGCATGCTGCACCCTGCATAACCTGCGCCCTTCTGTGTAGTTGCGTCCAGCGATTTTCAGTTGCATCTGAAGCCCTGATAAACCATCAGCAACTAAAAAAGTTTTGATTCTGAAAGACGACACGCGAAGCCAACCCAATATTCGAAACGCTGAGCTGCCCTATGGCGTGACGGCATCTGTTCCTGTACTGCTTATTTTTCGAAAAATATTAATCACGAATTAGTGAATTGGTACGGTGGCGATCGTAGACAGTGTTAGTTGACAAAATAAATTTTAGTTGTGGTCCTGACGAAAATGCTACCGGAAGTCATCAATGTTCACCTGTTTCGCGCTATTGTTTGCATTTCCAGCAACCGTTTGGCGCACGCTTTGTCACTGAATGTTGCCAAGTAAACAAATATTGTTCTCGGTTCGTTACTAGCTCCGAAAGTTTCTTTCACCAATTGGCAAAGAACTCCGCGCTCTTTCTTGTGGACTTCAAACCCTTCTCACCTTGATATCTCCGCTAGGATTCTCTGTCAGTTTGCTTTTACCCTTTTGCTACGATGTTAATAAGGGGATAGGGAGGTTTTCCATATGACAGAGGGGTCTACCGGCAGACGCCATTTTGGTGTGCGCCACGCGTTCTAGTATCATTCGGAATAGCAGTGGCTTGATCAATGCGAGGCCAAAACAGAGCCTCACCTAGGCCAGCCGATGTAGAAGTCATGTACTTCTGTCTACTTCTATTCCAGAAGAACCGATATCAGTTAACTTCCACAGAAGATGAAGGGCTCGGTTTGCCTGATCTTGAGCCGATCCGGGATTCGACCCCGAAACAGAACGCGTGCTAAGCGGTTCGCTTACCGCTACACCACCTCCACCATGAAAGAACACTAGTAGTAAAACAGAGTTCAAACAATGATAATCTTAGTGTGCC